CATGACCCCAGGCAGCCTTAGCAAAAGAAGAGCTGAGGGTGGCTGACTGGTAGAGCACCCTTAGGTTCAATTCCCAGTATGGGAAAAAAATGAGCTAATAGGTAAGAAGGATTTAAATGCTCCTCCTTCAGTGACCATACCAAAGGATAATACCAGGGTTCACTTGGGGCTATGCCCAACCCTGTCATCCCTATCTCTATCTCCATCCCAATCCAATTCCCATACAAACTACCTTCTGCATTATAGTGGTGGTAAAGGCATCCTTCCCACAGTACCCTGGGCCCTGCAGGGAAGCCACTGCGCCTGCTCTCCAGGACAGCGGTGCAGGGGCCGGGGGTTCAGCTGATACTTGGTGTAGTCCTGGACCTGCCCGTGTCAGGTTTCAGGCCTGCTCCCCAAGGGAGAGTAAGTGGGAAGACGGTAAGGCTGAGAGCATGATGTGGGGGCTCAGGGGAGCTGCCTGTGGTCCTGAAACTGACTTCAGAGCCAGAGATGAACAAAGCCCTGAGCCCCTCTGTGTCCTGAGGGAGGAGTCCAGGTTTCAGATTCTGCCTGGGGGATGGGGAGAGGCAGCGGGAAAGATGATCTTTCAGCATAAAGGAAGCTGTCTTTGTCCCCTGTCAACACACTCTTGATTGGTTTTGAATACCCAGCAGTTTAATTATTTCACTGTGAACCCAGCCAGCCTGAGCTGAGACTGGACTCTAGACCTTCAAAGTCACAGAAGAGTTAAGTCAGAGTGTGCTCCTGCCAGAGCAGTCTGTCCTGCAACAGCAGGTGAAGATCAGAAGTAGTTTGAAAGCCTGGTGGGAATTGTTCTTGATCATCCTTGCCTTGCTCCAGGTGCTCCAGGGCCAGGGTCACCATGATTCACTTCTGTTTGGCCCACACAGCCTACTACTTGCACTGCTGGCTGCCCAGATCGCATCAGCTCAGACTGTAAGTGTCCCTCTCTACCCACTGTAACAGAGTGGAGTTCATTTCTTCTGAGGCAATCTTGAAGTTTAACTAAAACTTACTTTTAATTTTTAAGTCATTGATCTTTTCAAGTTTTAAAAACATTGAGGTGTGAACATTAAAACATTTTATAAACAGTTTTTAAAACATCAACTCTTTCAAAGAAAACAGTGCTGGTCTTGGTTGTGCAGCCTGTAATCCCAGTTCCTTTGGAGGCTGAGGCAGGAGGATCACAAGTTCCTAGCCTCAGCAATTTAGCAAGGCTCTAAGTAATTTAGTGA